CCCCCTCCGTCCTTTCCCTTCCGTGCACCGAGCCGCCTTCTCCCGCGCACTGATGTCCCCCTCTTCTTTTGGCGCTTTATCCATCACGCGCGCCAGAGCTGCTCGACCTGGATCAGGAGTTCACAAACGCCATCATGCCGACCTCGGTCCCGGCCATCCTCGGTGCGCTACTTTGCTGGGCCGAGCCCGAGCGCCCCCTCCCCACGCTCGCCCCCCCCCCCCCCCCCCCCCCCCCCCCCCCCCCCCCCCCCCCCCCCCCCAACTCGGTGACTCGGCATCGGGCACTGACACCCTGGCGCATTATTCCAGATGTCTCGGCCGTCCGGCCTGTCCTGCAGTACTTTGTCAACTCGGCGGATTCCATCCGCTCGGAGGAGCAGCACCGGCACGAGCGCATGCAGCGGCTCATCCTCAACCCCATCACCCGGCTGGTGGAGCAGGAGATCCGCCAGTACCGGGACCTGCGCCGGGCCTTCGAACGAGCTCGCGACAAGTACAATTCGCTGCTGGCCAAGTGGGCCATGCGCGGGGCGCTGCCGAGCAGCGCCGTTCGGGCATCCTCCTCTTCCGCCGCCGCCGCCGCCTCCTCCTCGTCGTCCGCTGCTGCTGCTGCTGCTGCTGCTGCCGCGACGGGCGGGCCGCCGGCGACGCCGACCTCCACGGCCGGCGGCGACTCCCTGGCCGGGGTCACTGGCACTCTGCCCCTGTCCTCCCCCCCGCCATTGGCCTCCTTCAGCACCGCGGCCAGCAGCAGCACCATTAGCCTGGGCGCCGGGGCGGGCGCCGCCGGGCCCGGGGTTGCGGTGGCCGTGGGCCCGGGGTCCGGCACTTCGGCCACCACGCCGGGGCCCCTGTCCCCCGGGGCGGCTCCCCTGCCGGGGCTGCTGCCGGTGGTCAGCTCGCCGGCGCCACCGCTCGGGTCGATTCCGGCCGGCGGATCGGCTGCCAGCCTGGGCCCGAGCACCAGCAGCGGGTCCAGCTCCCTGCAGCTCCTGCCCCCGGGGCTGGTGCTGTCTGGCAGCGGCATCGAGGAGACCACCGCTCACAAGGCCTACTTCCTGGCCCTGCTCAACTACACGGCCTTCCTGATCCGGCTGCACTCCGGGGTCGGGGAGTTGATTGCCTCGAGGGTATGTCGGCGTGTCTCTGTGCTTTTTCCTTTTTTTTTCTTTCGGGTGTGCTTGTGCCTGTGTGTCTGCTTGTGCCCCCTCGTCTTGATGTCTTCCCGCCTGCCTGTCTTTGT